TGTGCAATGCTAGTAGCCACATCTGAATTGTACACTATACCTTTGGGAGTATAAGACTATCTAGTTTGCAAAGCAAGTTGAAAATATTAAATGTGGTTTGCCTTCTCTTAGGGATCAACTATTATTTTCTCATTACTTGAAAGAGTACTTTAGTATTCCCAACATCTGGGAAGTTATATTGTAAATGTAATCATGGATAATTTTCTAGTATCTGATATTAATATTCTAGAAAAGAGGGCTTATGCTAATATACAATGAAACTAAATACAATAAAATCTCGCATATATTTATTTACATTGATCTACAAACAAAATTTGGAATATTGAAACTGACAAATATGTATGTATGTATGTATGTATAATTATCAGGACACAAGGTTTACATTATTTTATGCTGCAGGATAAACTCTACTTCAACATGACTTCAATAAATGATATTTACTACATTATAAAAAAACCCACTAATAATTGTTAGTTTGGCTATGGTTAATAAGGTGTGTTGAAAGCTTTCCTAATCCTGTTTTCATCTCAGATATTCTGCAAGTTGAACTGTAAAAAACAACTGGGTTGTCTTTTGACATCTAGATGCCTCACTGGAAAGCTATACTTGGAGACATCTAAGAGTGTTGCCATTTCTATGGGAAGATAAATAGTGGCCCCCAACCTTTTGGGCACCAGGGACTGATTCTGTGGAGAGAGGTTTTTCCCCCGGACCAGAGGGGGTATGGTTTTGTGTACTGCCTGCATCCCATGGATGGAGCTTCGCTTGTTTGCATGGCCTGGTTTCTGGCATGCCAGAGCCTGTTGCCAGTCCACGGACTGGGAGTTGTGGACTCCTGGCCTAGATCTTATCTCTGCTTAACAGAAGACCCTGTTTAATTTCTGTCTAAGGATTTCACCTGGTACAACCATGGCCAGAAGTGTCTAATTATTTTGCCTGATTTAGAGTCCTTAAATTTGAAATCCAATTGTTATTTTAATTATTTTATAAAAAATTCAGCATCCCAATCATTTTAATCTCAGTTTGTATATATTTTAAAACTGCACCATCATATTGGACTGACGTGGATTCTTATGACTTTCCAAATCTGAAAAAAATTATAGCTATACAAAAAAAAAATACAATTGATACATAACATGAATAGTGCTTTAGCAATTTATAAACATTTGGTCATTCATCTAATGTTACAATGTCATTCTCTTTCATATGTGACTGTCCTGTGACACCTCCATTTTTCTGCAAAGATCAAGCAGATGAAATAGCTATAAAGTGTAAAGTTCATTTGTCAGCAGGATCAGGTCTTAGAGGCACTTAATGGTTGGAAAAGGTATTTTTTCTTAGATGTGCGGTAATTTGCACTACATGGAGAATATATATGTTGTTTGGCTTCACTCACACATATCAGCCCATTTTGTATGCTTATCTAATAATGAAAAAGTTAAATGAAGAAAATGTTGGAGTGGGATTGGAAGAGGTTAATACAATTGTTTACTTAAATAATAATTCTGTACCAGAAGAAATGGTTTACACAGTTAAAATGCTTCAAATTATATATGGTTTGCCATTTATATGCATGTTTTGATTGCTTGCATGACTTTAGAGTTCAATTAATTTCTGGATTATGATGCTGCCTGTTAGAACTAAAGATCATTAAAGTTTAGTGACTTCTTTCTGACATAATGTTATAGCTAGATTCATTAAGTATGCAGCTTTTTTGGAGGCTAAAAAGATATATGATGTTCTCTATTTCAAAACAAATTAGAGTACATTCTTGTTCAATGTGTCAACCTGTAGAGATGAGTCAATGTGATTCCTCTATTTTAATTTAACCTAAACCTTTAAACCTGAATACAAAGTATGAATTAGCCACATACATTGTGAATATTGAATCTTCCATTTAGGCTTTACATAAGGTTTTCTGCTAATTCTTTCTTGGTCAGCTCCTTCCTATAGTCTCCTGCAAAAGAAGACTAAAGCAAGTCTTTTAAAAATTATATTTGCTCAAAGAGATGTTAGATTGAAATTTGTTGTCCTTTCCCTGGATATAGTAATAGAGCTAATTGAATAAGAAGGAAAAAAAGAAGGAAGAGGGAGAAAAAAAAAGACTTATGGTACTTTGTGTTTTCTTTCAACAGCCTGATGTCAGGACTAGCAGCTCTGGATGCTAAAACATCTAGTCGATTAGGCATCATTACAGTCACTTACTATCTGTGGACTACATTTGTGGCTGTGATTGTGGGAATCATTATGGTCTCTATTATCCATCCTGGTGGGGCAGCCCAGAAAAAAGACACCCAAGAAGGTGCGAAGCCAATAATGAGTTCTGCAGATGCATTGCTGGATCTAATTCGGTAACAACATTCTCACTAATTTTATGAAGGTTCTGATTTTACATATTCAGTGATACTGTGTGGTGGCCTAGCGGTGAAGCTAAACTGTGTTGAATAACCACATTTTAAAATGTATGTTTTAAAACCCATGAATGCTAAAGGTCAGTGATGAATTCATTTAAAAGAACCTAGAACTTAAGCAGAACTACCTTCTACTCCCCAAACTGAAAAACATTTTAGCATGTACAAATTTATCCTTTCTTGCTTCAGGACCACCATTTCCCCTAATACTTAAAAAAAGGTAAAGGAGAAGAATAAGCGTTTGGCCTGAATTCTAATGCAATGTATGTATACACTCAGAAGAAAATTACAAGTATTACCTAAATTGTAATCTGTGCAACCAGATGGTCATAGCTGGTAGAAGGAGAAAAATATGGTGTCCATTAATGAACAAACATCAAATCAATCAAAACCTGTTCTGAAAAGTACATTAATCTTTCCAGCATCATCTTTGACATCAAAAACAGAATACTGCCTGAGCCCCATTGGAAACTGAAGTATGCATGAAAAACAAACAAAATGGTTTATTAAACACAGAGATAATGTTGGCTTTGCTTCAAATTTCTCTATTATGATACCATAGGGCAGGGTGTCAAATTTGCATCATCACGGCAGCGTGACATGTCGTGTCGTGACTTTTTCCCCCTTCGCTAAAATGGGTGGGGGCGGGGCCAGCACGTGATGCATCTGGCCCATGGGCCACGAGTTTGATACCCCTGCCATAGGGGTGTTTATTTTGTACACCTACTCACAGAAAACAAATTCTTTTTCTCATGGCAAGTTATAATCCTTCATATATGCGTATGTGTGAAGCATGAAGAGAGTATCTTAAAAAAGAGGCATGACACATTGGAGGCTGCTTTTTGTATGCTGAACTCATCATCAGCACTTATTTAGTATAAAGAAATCAATTTTTTTTCATCTCTAACAATATTGTTTTAAGTAATGGAATCACATTAAATCAAGTGCACATTAAGATGATTGCATTTGCGAATATTTTTCCCCAAATTCTTCCTGGGACTTCGGATTATTTGTATATCTAATTTCATATATTGACTGGTCTCTAGTCTCAGATGGAGGCATTTCCTATTACCTGCTATTTGATCGTTTCAATTGAAGGAGCTAGAAATTGAAGCTGAGACTTGTCCATAGAAAACATCTGCTACTCAATTATGATCTTTTCACCTGTATTTGATTCTTCCCTCATATAAAATTATCTGATGAAAGCTCCTTAATTAGTTCTTTGTGTTCTTTTATTTTTGGCTTCTTTTTTCTCTCTTGCAGACTATGAGTCTATAAACTGAACATAAATGTATTTCTATCCTCAGAAGAAACCTTGGATTCTCAGTGTTGATAGCGAGCATGTTTGTCATGCTTGTTGGTTCAGCTTGCAAAGACCTGGAAATCAAACTTAAAGCTGTTTATAGCAGGAAGCAGAGCTAAGTGGAAATATAACTGAAGCCATTAGATTTAAGCAGTGAGTCAGTCTTTTTTATGGCCCTGAGCAATCTGCATAGTATGCATGCAGCTGACATGCTTGTTAACTGTATGTTCTTGAATATACTCTCCTTCCCATGTTAATTAGTGCTAAAGTGGTAATTAAACATAGATAGCAGGCATGGGCATGTCTATATATCTTCACTGGCAGCCAAATGTAGTTATACATTGCAAAGATAGCCATGATCTCCCTGGCTAATGTTTCAGAGAGGTTTAACGAAGTTGTAGAATTTTTTCAGACTTAATGATTGGAAACAGAAAACCTAAGAACAATGCCATGCAGCCTTATTACAAAGCATACTCATCTTGAATTGTATTTTGTGATCAGAACAGCAAACTGAGGATTTGAGAGGAAATGGATGGGCTTACCATAGACCTAGGAGTAGGACTCTTCTGAAGTTGGGTGATGCTTCACAAATCCTATTGAGAGTTCTTGGATGGATGGTTCCATTTGCCCAATCTCAATACAGGGACAGGTTGCAGGCATGCTTTCCTTATCTTCTTCCAAAGTAGTGTTTTCCAACTCACACTGCCATTACTTGCTGTTCTTTAATTCATTCTAGACAACTTCTGTAAATCTACTGCTTGCTGTATGGAGTGGCCAGCCTCTCCCATCCTTTTTTTGTTACAGTTTGCTGCCCTCCAAGCCCCTTTGGGCAATATCTATACCCAAGAAGAGGAACACGTCCACATGAGGCCTGATTTCTATATGCTTGGTAAGCCAGGCACATTCCTTCTTTATCTCCAATAACCATTAGTTCTTGGTTCCTATCCATATATTCAGCTATTAGAGTGTGAGCTGGTCAAAGAGAACAAATGAATGGTGGATTGTCTATGGAGATTCTTAATGATGCAGGTCATGGTTGTCCCAGAGGTGCTTTTTCAAAAGGCAACTAGACTTTATTTGTTTTTTTCCTTGAAGATATTTAGCTTCTCATCCAAGAAGATTCTTCAGTTCTGACTGAATGGTGGAAAATGGAAGGAATTATATTCCTCACAATCATCTGGTAGTTAGCCCTCTCTGGGAGTCATTGAGGCAACTTGGAGGTTTATGTGTGTCCTCAGGATCAACTGAATAGTGCAAATGAATGCAGAACTGACTTGGAACTGCTGAAAGGACTGTATTGTAAACAATGGACTGGTGGACTGATGAAACATTGGGCCATTTATTTATTTTATTAGTAAAATTTATTAGAAGCCCATCTTACCTCAAGGTAACTCTGTTTTAAAAAACAGAAACAAAAGAGATCCAGGTTCTTTCCCCCAGCATGTAGGTAGGAGGGTAAAGAATCACAGAAACTGACCAGTTAGTGAGGAGCATATAACTCTTCAGATAGTATACTTGGCTAGCATTGTTATCAAAGCTGAAAATGAAATCTTAACAGACATGTCTGAAACCAGCTTTATTCCCAGATGTTTCGGCTCAGGAGACAAGTAGCTTAAAGCTGCTGCACAAAAAAGCTTGAAGGCAAGCAAGAGGAAAATACATCAGCTCAGCAGATGGAAAAGAAAGAAAATCATGGCATTTCTTTGAAACATGATGGGACTTTTGTTAGATCTGGAGGAGTGGGCGCAAGTAACGGAGACGAGGCATCGAATAGTGACTCAACTCTTTATTAGTGACTTCAGAAAAGGAACGGGGCGCTTGGGCAGCAGCAGCTCCTTTTATAGAGCTGGCTGCTGTCACAATGTCCAATGATTTAAGTTTGCCGCGCTGGGAGCGTCCAATCAGCGGCGACCCGCTGTCAGCCAATCTGATTAGCCAGAGGCGACCAATCACGATCTGCTAACTGTGGGCCAATCAGAAGTGCAGGATTACGAGCCTGCTGTGGAAGTAAAACTATTAGGATTCAAAACCAATGCGTTTGCTTAGTTCGTAACACCCCTCCCCCCTAGGTTCCGTCTGAGGGGTGGGGTGATGTATTCTTCCAAATAGGCAGGTCGTTTCACCTGTCTACTTGATCTGCGTTGCTCCACCGGTCTTTGCTCTGGCTCTGGTTCCGGTGGGCTGCTTGCTGAACTCAATGGCAATGACAGTCCAACCTCTCCGCTGGGTGACTCGGGGTTGTCATCTCTGCTTCCGTCACAGCTGTCATTCGGATTTCTTGGATTTGCTTCAGTCGCAGTGCTGTTTTGTGGCGAGGCGATCATCTGGCTTGGTTCTCCTTCGGAAGGTGAGTATCCCAGGGTTGGTTGTGCTGATTGCTGGTTTTCGAGTATTGGGTCGTATGCTAATTCTCTTCCGGCCCCCTCGGTTTCCCTTCCCCCCCCCGGTTTGAAATTCTGGGCTTGTGACGGGGGTAGGTGCTAGTCTGGAGCGAAGTTGGTCAATGTGGCGCTTCCACGTTTTCCCATCAGCAGTTTGTAAATGGTAGGATCGAGGGCCCATAGGTTGAGTTATGGTAGCAGGGACCCACAATGGGTCTCCGGAAAAGTTTTTTGCAAAGACTAGGTCGCCTACCTTGAATGTGCGACACCTGCTGCTGGACCCCAGGGGTTTTTCCGGCATGTAGGCATGGTGTAGGCGATCAAGATGTGAGCGAAGTTTTCGGCCCATGAGCAGTTCGGCTGGGGTTCTGTTTGTGGTGCTGCTTGGGGTGATATGCTGGAGCAGAAGCATCCTAGTTACCTTGTCATCGATGTCCCCATGTTCCATCTTGTGTAGCGTTTTCTTTATAAATTGGACCATTCGCTCAGCCCTGCCATTGGCCGCAGGGTGAGCTGGCGATGTTAAAGCGTGGCATATTCCCCGGTCTGCTAGGTACTGTTCAAATGCCAGAGCAGTGAATTGGGGGCCATTATCTGAGACCAGGACATCTGGCAACCCGTGCGTAGCGAATAGTCTAGTTAGTTTTTTGACGACTGCTTCTGTGGTGGTGCTCTTCATTTTGTGGACCTCCAGCCAGTTGGAATAGGCATCTACTGTTATAAGAAATGTGGGTCCCTTGGTGGGTCCCGCAAAATCGATGTAGATGCGGGACCAGGGGCCTCGAGGTGTTTCCCATTCAGTCGGTGGGGCTTTTGGTGGAGCTGAGCGAGTTTCCTGACATTTGATGCACGTGGCTACCCAGGTCTCTATTTGTTTATCTATACCTGGCCACTATGCGTAGCTTCTTGCCAGTGCCTTCATGCGCACGATGCCTGGGTGTCCATCGTGCAATAGCTTTAGAACTTTATGCTGTAGTCTCTCTGGGATTACGACTCTGTCTCCCCACAAGATGCATCCTTTTTGGGAGAAGAGTTCTGTCTGTCGGTTTTTGAAAGGCTTAAGGATGTCGTTGGGTTCCTTGTCAGGCCAACCTCTTTCCACCCAGCTGAGGACTCGTGCCAAACAAGGATCCTTCTTTGTTTCCGAGGCGATGTCTCGTGCAGTCAGTGGTGGTGAAGGAAGAGCTAGGGTTGGAGCTGGGTCGCTTATGACTTCCGGTAGTGGAGAACGGCTCAAGGCGTCCACGTGGGGAATG